CCATGAAAGAAAGAGGCAGCCACCCAGCATGACGCTGCCAAGGCCCAGAGGCTAGATCATGTCCATACTGGGCAAGTGTAGCCATCTCTCCTTGATGTCCCTCCATCCCTCTGTGTTCTGAACTCCTGAGATTCTAGGGGTGCTCAGCTAGCCAGTGGGAAAGCAGGTAGAGTGATGAGAGAGACAAGAAACCAACACCATCAACCCCTTCAATGGGATCTTCCAGCAGAAGGAAGCAGACCCCAGCTGGAGAAGTAGAGGAGCCTAACTGGGCAAGAGTTTGTTATTACTACTGGACCAGAGGTTGGTGACGACGAGCTTGGACAACCCTCTGTACTATCTCAGAATGTCCGAAGAGCTCTAGGACAAGCCCGAGGTTTCATCCAGATGGTAGAATTTTCTTAAAAAGAGCTTGAGAGGAAGAAAGACTAATCCAGTTTCCTGTTTGTACTTTACTGAGTACAGTGTTTTCACTAGGCCAGTTCTACACGTCTCAGATGGTGGACATGAACCACAGGGCCTGTCCAGCTCGGCTCTTCAGGAAACAGCATTCTATCTACCTGGTTCTGGTGGGTGCTGCCAACCACAGGACTCCACTGCCATGGCCACGGCATGGATATCACCCCAAACCGTGCCAACTGGGGGACTTTCCTGAGGTTGTAGAAACTGGGATTATGGACATGAACTGGGAGCCTAAGCCATCCCGGGCACCCCCTCTTCTAGCAGTACAAACCAAGGGCATTAAATAATGTAGAGAGAGGAGTAAGGATGAGATGTGGTGGTGTTTGAGCCCCTGTTCTGGTTCTCCTTGACAGCTGGTTATGTCTCTGCCCTTTTCCTGTTGGGTTGTAGACCACAAACTCTCTTCCTTTTTGCCTAAACAATGCTGAGTTTCTGGCACTTGCAACCATGTGCTTGCTAAGATGAAACGGTATCTCTTCAAGGAACCAGTAGCATTAAAAGCTACTGAGACAAACCATAAGTGACTCTTAATCTCACAAAACAAACTGAGGGTTGATGGGGGGAGGGGGGTCGGGAGAAGGGGGTGGGGTTATGGACATTGGGGAGGGTATGTGCTATGGTGAGTGCTGTGAAGTGTGTAAACCTGGCGATTCACAGACCTGTACCCCTGGGGATAAAAATATATTATATGTTTATAAAAAATAAAATAAAAAAAATAAATTAAAAAAAAAATAAAAGCTACAGAGAAAAACAAAGAGCAGTCGCTGAGATCCAGCAGCCGGCCCAGCACTCCCAGCTGGACCATGTTGTCCTCTTACAGGACAGAAACATCCTCGCAGAATACCAACCTCAGACAAGGCAATGTCGACACCAGAAAATGAGACAAAACGTGATCACTTCCTAATTTTGCATAAGCACAGATAAAAATAAGGTCACCATGCCACCTTCAAAATATCATAAACACTTCTTGGCTAAGCGGCTGCTACTTCTTTACCAAGTACAACTTTATTCTGGTTCTAGTCTCTTCTCTCTACAGACAAGCTTTATTGAGATAAAGGTGCCCGCTCTCTATCAGCCTCACAAAATTTCCCCCTCTCTAACAGCATGAAATCTAGAAGGAAACTCTGCTTCCATAAGCCCTCCCCCAAATCACCCAAGGAAAGCCCAAACCTTTCACACACCTTCTTACTGAGATCCCGCCCACCCCACCCCATCTCCATGCTGTGTATCCTCCTTTATTTTGGTGAGTAATAAACCCAACTTGTTCTTGACTGGGAGACACTGACACTCTTAAAGCATCTTTGTGTTTGTTTGTTTGTTTTTAATGTTGGCTTCCTATGAAGCCGTTTGTCTTCCAGAATGTCTAGAAGAGACTTTACTTAAAAAAAAAAAAAAAGGTTGGAAGCTTACAGAAGTACTTAAAGGAACCAGCTGAGCTACAGATATTTTAATTTTTAAATACCTTGGAAGGTGTCGTGGATGCTGTAGTGACCGGCTCAGATCTCACCTCCGGGACCCGGGGACCTATTCCTCCAGCTGCTGGGCGAGTTCACCCCTCGTGCTTCCCAACTGAGCTCCTCCTTTGGAATTGCCTTTGGGCAAAGCTTTTTGCTCAAGGGCACGCTTCCTTCCTAGGACTGCCTACATCCAATATTGATTGGCTGAGATGAGGGTAGAGTGGTTCAGCCCCCTTTTTGGCATGAAACCTGTAGGGCCATTTCCCTGGGGTCTGCTAGGACCTCTGCTACAACTAGTGACTGCATCACAGTTCATCATTCTCCCTCTTCCCAATCCAGTTGATTTCACTCCCTCATAAATCAGAGCATACCCCCAAACCTGCTGCAGGTACCTCCCCATCCCAGGGTCTATTTCCTGGGGAACCAACTCAAGATAAAAGGGAGCTAAGATTTCAAAACTGGCTACCCAGCCATTTTCACACAGACCCAGAAAAGTTCCATCATTGAAAAGTCCCATGACTCCTGCCCAATGTATGCAAGATGGCTTGTTGAGCAGGTGGGGGGAAAGTCACATGATAGCACCACTGTCTCCCTTGCACAGGCAGATGGAGCAAGGCTGAGGACTTGCAAGAGCTAAAAATGGCTAATATATCACCTAGCGTAATTAGCAACTACTGACCCATTGGTTGGCCTTTTTTTGGGGGGTTACCTTAATATGGATTTCCACATTTGTAGGAAAAAAATTAGTGCTTTAAGTCTCCTTTGCTGATGTGGGAGTACACCTGGCTGGTTGGACTGTCCAGTTAGAAGTTACATCCTCTATTCAACTAGTTGTCGAATAAATCTAAGTCATAGTCACAGGAAGGAACATTATTATAATTTCTGGTTTTGCCAACTGAAACCCATAAAGTTACAATTTCAAAACACCTGACTCCTTAAATCTAAATTCCTTTGCCAAGCTCTCTGCAACATGGTTGCCTCCTCTGCGGCATCCCTGTGACCATCCAACACCAAGGTTATGCCTCCCTCCCTTCCATCTCACTTTTCATTCTGCCACCTGCCTCCTCACTCAAGGAAATCCTACCCACTTTGAAGGGTCTGATCCTCTTCCATGGAACCTTTTGTTCAGGTCCATCTTTGATAGTCCCTTCCTACCCTAACTCTTCTTGCCTCACTTTCTACAACTTGGCTCATATCCTATCGGGTCCCATCATGCTTCACACATGGCGAGCCCATGTAGCTGCCCCTTGAATACTATTTTTCTAACAGCTGTATTAATATATAATTCATATGCCATAACATTCACCTGTTTTGAGAATATGATTCGATAATTCTTAGTAAAAACTTACAGGGTTGTACAATCATTACCACATTCCAATTTTAGAACATTTTCATCACCCCCAAAATCTCTTGTACCACCTGTATTTACTCCCTATTCCCATCCCTATGTCCAGACAACCAATAGTCTGCTTTCTGCCTCTATAGATTGCAAGAAATATTTTTTAAGCTCTTCCTATGGAACATTCTTTACATTTTCCAATGACCACCATCACTCACTATTGAGTTCCCTTTGCAAATAATCCAAAGTAGACATTTGAATAATTAGAACTTATTAAATAAAATGGCATTGAAAACCCCCTCCTCACTAACAAATTGAGAGCATTTACTTCTCATTACAATCAAACAAGGTGTCATTTTTAGGTAAAATCTAAATTCCTAAATTTATCTTTAACTCAATGTTGATTCAGCTGGAATTTGTTTTGAAAGTGAAAAACAGGAAGAAAATAGAGTGAACAGATAATATGATGGCACCTTGAGAGCAGTCAAACAAGTCACTTTGCTCTTGGAAATTAAATAGGTCAGACAAACATCCTTTCTGCACTTCCCTTGTTTGGAACCCCAGGGACAAGGACTCCCCCTGAGAACAATTATAAAGGACAGCTTACAGAAGTTCAGGATGTTTCTTCCTGTGTAGGTCAAACACAAGTCAAGGCTCACACCTTTTATTAGCTTGATTTATATTCAGTTAAATGGGCCATCTCTTGTGCATCTCCTCATCTATTCAACAACTTCAAGAAAATTACATTTGAACTCAATTTAAATTGTGGCCATTTGATCAACTATCTTATAGGCAAATAAGTAAGAGAATGAAAGCCTTTTCACAACTGATGAAACATTAATTCATAATAAAAATTCACTTAGAAATATTTTAATGAACTTGAGACCATTGATACATAGATAACATACAAAGCACATCAAGAAAAATAGTCATTGTGAATCTTATTTTGGCATCATAAAAATATAATTTAATTAATTTATTTATTTGCTTGTTTGTTTATAGTTTATCATGCCAAAATAGAACAAGATTATTTCACGGGCAATAAACACATTTTAACAAAAAAAAGCTATAAAACAAGTGTCTCGTGGGCAAGGCTGATGTATAATGGGAAAGTGAAAATGAGTCCTCCGCACATTCACATTGTTGAGAGATATAGACTCTTTCGGAACCAACAATGCAGTGAATATTATTTCTTGCAGAGTTCTGTGAGCTTAGCCCTGAGAATATTGAACAATTTCAATCAAAGTTCCAAAATGTGACACCTCAAATATTCCCTAAATTTAGCAAAGAGGTGCTTCTAATATAGGAATTAACTCAGCTTTATCATTTCAACCCTTTCTTATATTTAAATACCAGAACTATAAAAGTTTTAGAAAGCACTGCTTGTCTATTTCCATAATTAGATTCTTTTCATTGTAAGACAAAAATAAAATTTAAAATAATAGTCTTTCTAGAGAAGGACTAACATGTACACAGCATATTTTACAAGATAATATATTTCATGTGAATGTACTATACCATGGTCATTATTAATTATATGGGATTATATAAGATTTTGTTTATCATCATTATTTTCAAGATCAGGAGTCAAAGAATCTCACTGGGACCAAATGATTCGACCAGGGCCATCTCCTGAGTCTGTGACTAAGAGAAAAGAATATTTTATTTCCATAAAGCCAATCTACTAATTAATGTTCAGGAAACAAGCCTTTCTGTAATCCTTTTTTTTTTTTTTTTTTTTTTTTTTGGGTACTACTTCTAAATAAGAGAATTGTTTCTTCTAACACCTATGGCAGAAGCCCAAATATCAGGAAAATATAAATAAGTGTTTATTAAAATATTTATTTTACTAAGTGATCAAAATGCACTGCAAATGTTTTCTGACCATGAATCTGTATATTAAAATGGGATTTAAAACTTCACAAAATCGACAGTGAGACAGGCACCACTAAAATAAAAGCCTTCCAATTGAAAAAATACTACACCTAAGCTTTCAAAAATTGGGGTATGTATATTAAATGTACTCTTTTCAGTTGAAATAATATTGTATCCACTAAAACCATTATCTCTTATTCTACTATGAGTGCATCCAAAAAAAATCCAAATGTAATGGTCAGAAACCTTCTCATAATTCTATATTTTCTTTAAATGAGGAATGTTTTAAAACTTTTTAAAGTTGTCTTAGACCTCAGTAACCAACTGTGCATTCACTTGTAGAAGATATTCTTATATGTTTATTTTGGGTCCAATTAACTCAGCTGGTGATAAAAGACCGGCAATAGAGAGAGAGAAGAGACAGAATCGTGGGACAATACTCTCTAAAAATGAATAAACAGTTCAACATTATTTTCAAATAAAACCTAAATTGACCGCAAAACTTTTTAAGTTAGGAAAGTTACTCCTCTGTTACCTTAGTCTTGAAATAAATTTAATGTGTTGAATTTCTGGATCCAAGTGCTACTTGCAATTTATGATGAAAGGCGTTTACCCGTTCTTTCTGAACTGGCCAGTTCAAGATGCAGTGAGATTTAAACATCCCTCTTCGCAAACAGAGTGCGTGGTTCAGTTTATAATCTGGAATTTCCTCAAGAAAGATCAATATAATGGAATCCAGATTTTGTTCAATAGCTTGTTGAACTGCCTGGTGCACCTTGAATCTAGGAAAAAAATTATTAAAATATGTTATATATCAGTATACAGATTTTAACAGCCCAAAGCACGCATATCCTCCTTAAATTTGTTTTCATCTGTCCCTAATAATCAGCTTATTTTTAAAAGAAATTTATTTTTAAAATTCTTTGAGTTGTGAGTCATAATGTAAGTAATATTTAAAAGCTCTATCAAAAAAATAAGTACACACTTAAAAGTTCACAATGTTCACCTACCTTTTGCATAATGGATCTTTTAATAGATTCTGTGTTATAACAAAAATAGTTTTTCTGCTTCTTTTGATGCTATTAACAATTGATTCAAGTTCAAGGACACCTGCCTTAAAGTCCCTCTCTTCGAGACAAAATTTGAGAGTTCGATCTTTTTCCTCCATTGGAGAGAAGTGTTCCCAGACCCAATCCCGATCTTTATAGGCATGAATTATATAAGCTGCATATTCAAACTGCTCTGGCTGTCTGTCTATTTCTTTGAAACCAAGAATTCGATGCACTAAAACATTCCAATAAAAAGATATCCTCCAGCCTTCAAAATGGATGAGCAGTACAATGAAGATAAAAATCAATGAGACACTGGTATTTATTATGAAAAAGAGTTCAAAGGGGGCACTGTCTTTGCAGGGTGATACATCAAAAAGCATGACGGGGAAACCATGATATTGAGGGGGAGTATTGCAGAGGTAATGGCTTGATAGCTCAGAAATGTTGGTATGGGTCTTGTTAATCCAATTGACGAACCAGGCGATACTTTCACAGGTACAATCAAATGGATTAAAGCTCATATCTAAATTACTTAGGTTCCTGAAGACTGGCCCAAAGACGTTCTTCTCAACTGATGTTATGAGATTCTTCTGAAGGTTCAATGACTTTAGAGATGCCTGATCATCAAAGACAGATGGTGGAAATATGTTTAAGTTATTCAATCCTAAATCAATTCTCTTTAATTCAAGCAAGTCCTTGAATGCCTCTGCTGGGATCTCATCAAAGCCATTAGACTCTAAGTTAAGAATGTGGAGGTGAGAAAGACCCTTTAGAAAATGAACAGGACCACTGGGGTTTGCATGTTTCCATAGCCTTGCTAAGTTGTTATGCTGCAAATCCAGAACTTCTAGTTTCTCAAGACCCTCCAACAGTTCAGCATTTATGTTGGCTATATTGTTGTTGCTTAGATCCAGGATAGTCAAGTTCCGAAGAGGATGAAAAGGTGAAGGGGAGCTGTCCGCATTTCTAAGGGCCACTCTTCGGAGCATCAGTTGTCGGAGGCTTGGGACCAAGGCAAAAGAGTTGCTAGTCAGTTGCAGGCATTTGTTGTAGGAAAGGTAGATTTCAACAATATTTTCTAGACCTCTCCATTCTTGGCCCGTGAGCTCTTGTCCGATTTCATTAAGGCCAAGGTCGAGCACCTGTAGGTGACCCAACCAAGAAAAAGCACCACTCTCTATTTTTGAGATTTTGTTTTTGGTTAGATTGAGTGTGACTAAAGGAGACGGAGCGAGGGACAAAAATGTTTCATTGGTTAAAGTTCGCAAACTTGCGAAGGAGTTGGAGAGACTTAAGTGCTTTAGCTTGATCAATCCTGTGAACATATTGCTTTTGATGCCTGGAAGGTTGTTGTCCCCTATGTTAAGATACTCCAAACGTTCTAGCCACTGAAAGGAAAAATCATCAATCTTGGGCTGCGACGCAAGGGAAATGCTTTGTTTAGCAAAAGAGTGTCGCAAATCCAGGTATCTCACGTTGAGAAGCCCATAAAAGGAATGAGAAAACAAATGTTCTATATTATTATACTCCAGGAAGAAATGTTCTAGATGTGGAAGCCAAGCCAGGGAATCGTTCTCAATCACTTTTAAGTTGTTGTGGGAAAGATCAAGCAAGGTGAGATTCGTGTGCTTTAGTCCAAAGAAAGTCATATTGCTGGTTCTGTACAGCTGGGTGTTGCTCAGGGATAGATTCTGAATGCTTGTGTTTGACAGTTCCAAACAAAGCTTCTCTGTGAGGCTGGGGGTCAGCTGAGCATTGTTCAGAGAGAGGCCAAATAATTTTCCAATTGCATGAAAACACCCTGGAGAGAACTAAAGGTGGGGCAGGGGGAGGAAAGGAGGTTAATAACCAAAACTCAGGGGCATCTGCATGACTCTTGAAAAGCTTAAACAGTTCTTTACTTAGTCCCTTTCCCCTTCACCGTCTTCTCTGCATTCTTCCCTAGCCCTCCACCGCACAGCTCCTTACTCTCTGCCTGCAACACCTGCCTCCTGTCCAGCCCTTACCTTTGTGGGCCACTGCTTACCTTCCACCCATCACGTAAGGGCCTTTTCTTTAGGGGGCCTTCCCTGACCTCCCAGTCTAGGTGAGGTTCCTAGTGCTTTCACTTGATCTCACTGAGTGTAAATGTGAGTAATAAGCTATTTGTAAAGTCACTGCTGTTTCGGTCTTGTTCTCATGAACACATGATACAAACAGGTAGATTGTATTATGAAACAGTGACACACATACATACCCTTCTGTGACTCTGAGTTCCAGCCTTGCTTTTTGTCTTTCCCCTGTGGTTTTTCCTCCTGACTTTACTTCATGATAGTGCCTCCAGCTCCCTCCTGCCCTGTCCCCACTTCCTCACCAGAAGCCTTGGCTGCTGTGGGACTCAGCACCAGAACAGAGAACAGAAGGCAGGAGAGAAGGAATCCAGAGAGGGAAGTAGCCAGTGCTGGGTGGTAGTTCGACACCAGGAGAGCAGAGGCTCTAACGCCTACCATGTCATTTGTGAGATGTTAGGGCTAATGGAAGAAAAGGCAAAAATGGGGAAGAAAGGGTACTGTACCATAAGAAAAGGGAATTGGACAATGAAGCAGGAAGTTATTATATTAATTAGGATGAACTTACATGATAGCACTATTTTAAAGTAATCAACATTGAGTTTTTGAATCATCCTTAATGATATGGAGAATGTTCATTATACGATATTACTGTTAAACAGCAGGATACACTGTTACACAGGGAGGTGATACAGAACAGAAAAGTTGTCAAGAGCATGGACTCTGATCTAACACTGCCAGAAACACAGTTCCGTCACCAGATGATCACTGGTGAGGCCTTGGGCAAGTTCCTCAACACTTCCTCAACTCAATGAGTTAGTTAAGAAAAAATAAAAATAAAAAAATAAATTATTAGATTTTGGAAAAGAACCAGTAGTGCAATGGTTTAAGCAAGAAAGGCCTGGGACAAACAAGGTAGACACACAGATTTAGAATCACTATTCTAGATAATAAAAATCAATTTGATGTGCCATACTTTCCATAAATGTTATTTGCCTTTATTTTTGCCCTAGTATCAATATATAAAAAGATTATTTCAATGAAAATAAAAATTTCTATGCACACAAAAAGAATAAGTTAGTTTGGGATTATATAAATAAATATATAGACACACAGGGTATTTTGAATTTGTACTCTGAAATCCACTTGCTGTTGTTTTTTTCTTATTATCACTTGGAGAAAAGCTGGAGATAAAAATACCCAAATGCTGGTGCACCTGGGTGGCTCAGGAGGTTAAGCCTCTGCCTTTGGCTCAGGTCGTGATCTCAGGGTCCTGGGATCGAGCCCTGCATCGGGTTCTCTGCTAAGTGGGGAGCCTGCTTCCCTCCTTTCTCTGCCTGCCTCTCTGCCTACTTGTGATCTCTCTGTCTGTCAAATAAATAAATAAAATCTTTAAAAAAAAATACCCAAATGCTAACATTGGCTGTCTCTGGACTGTGGACTTTTAGATGATTTTTATCCCCCCCATTATTTACATATTTTATAAAACTTCTACAATAAATGTTCTAAATAAAAAAAAAATGCGGTTCAAAACTTAGTATGAGTATTGCACAAAATGTTCATTTGTTGTATGTTTATATTTTATTATCTCAGAACCAATACACAGTCCATTTTTATTCTGAAAATTAATACAGCTTTTAAAAATCTGACTTAGTTTATGGCTTCCAATATTCTTATTCTCAGCCTCTAAAGGAATAAAATACAGATATATCTGTATATGAAAGTAGTTAATGAATTGAATATCATGGATCAAAGAGAAGGTCAGTTAGTTATATTCCATTATAAGAGGATTTTTATAATAATCTAATGCTAGTTATCATTTATGGAGCACTTACATGCCAGGTACTGCTAAATTCATTACCATACAGCCTATGATGTAGTGTTATTATTATACCAGTTCTACAGCTGGGGAACTGGAGCATAAAGAACTTGAATAATTTGTCTGATTACACAATTATTAGGACAGAAAGCCCAGCTGTGGAGCTAGCTAACCCAACTCTAAAGACTGTGCTCTTAACCATCATGCTATTTTAATTCTTTCAGAGATTTTGTGGGATAAATAGTACCGTTTCCACTTTACAAATGAGGAAAGTAAGACCCAGAGAGGTTAAGTAGGTTCTCGAAGATCCAAGTACTGGTGTGTAATTGGAACAGGGGTTGTAACCCACTTCTGTTAGACAGCAGAGCCCCAGCTCCTAACTGCTACCAGAGTCTCTCGTTTTGTGACCATGACATCAATGGCCCCAAGCAGGAAGTATGAAGGATTTCTGGGAGACGTGGCAAACATTATCACTCCTTTCTCTAGGGAATCTTTAAATTCGTATCCACGTGACACAGTTAGGGACTGTCCACACTTAAAGGTAGAACACAAAATAATTTTACCTTACGTCTTACCTCTTTAATTGGATTTGAGGACAACTCTAATTTTTTTAAAGAAGAATTACTGAGGAAATCAAGTTCTTCAGGTCTCAGTACTTTAATTTTATTATTTGATAACAGAAGCTCTTGGAGATTTTCCAGTTGGAGCTGACTTCCTAATTTGGTAGACGACAAACCATTATGAGATAGATCTAATTTGATTAAATTCTGAGAAAGAAAAAAGATGGATATAAGTTAGAGTCTGGCCTCCAAAAATAGCTCCTTTAAGTGTACCTGAATCTTAGAAATAACTTAGAAGTAACAGCAAAATGTCACCTATTATTCTATAGAAAACTGACAGTAGGAGTAATAAAAAATCTTTGTTCCTTCCATGTCGATGCAAGTGGTGGGTATTCATCCTTTCTGATGGCTGGGTAAAGCAGAGAAAGACAATTATCACATGGTTTCGCTCATATGTGGACCATAAGGAATAGCACAGAGGACATTAGGGGAAGGAAGGGAAAACTGAAGGGGGAGAAATCAAAGGGAGAGATGAACCGTGAAAGACTACGGACTCTGGGAAACAAAGTGAGGGTTTCAGAGGGGAGGGAGGTAGGGGGATGGGGTCGCCCGGTGATGGGTATTAAGGAGGGCACATGTTCTGATGAGCACTGGATGTTATACACAAATAATGAATCATTGAACACTACATCAAAAACTAATGATGGGGCGCCTGGGTGGCTCAGCAGGTTAAGGCCTCTGCCTTCGGCTCAGGTCATGATCCCAGAGTCCTGGGATCGAGCCCGGCATTGGGCTCTCTGCTCAGCAGGGAGCCTGCTTCTTCCTCTCTCTCTGCCTGCCTCTCTGCCTACTTGTGATCTCTCTCTGTCAAATAAATAAATAAAATCTGTAAAAAAAAAAAACTAATGACGTACTGTATGGTGACTACCATAACACTAAAAAAAAAAAAAAAAAAGAAAAAAATCTCTGTTGTGATTGAAAATACCATTGTTACAAAAGCTTTGTTTCTTACTGCAAGAATCATTTAAAAAAGAATCATTTTATTTCTCTTACCAAAATAAAAGGACTCAAGCTCATTTATTCATGATATAAGGAGTATTCATAATAATAATTTCTTTACGATGTAAGGAATAGTCATGTGGCTTACCAAGCACAGAGTGTCATGCATCAGACTTGAAACTAAACAGAAAAAAAAAGAAGAAAAAATTTTCTTCTTAAAGAACTATGAGTAGAACTTTGCTGTCCATGAAATCCTAAAAAGATTTTTATGTTGAGAAAGATTGGTAGTTATGTAAGTTTTGTATCATGACTAGTACAGAATATTCATTTTTGTTTGTTTAGTGGGTGCTGTGGGACATTTTACCACCCTTGTGCTACATTTTAACACATAAAGTTCTACTCAGGTGAAGGTAATGAAAAGCTGATATATATTAGGGCAGAATCTTATGTAACACATAATAAACAGAGTAAGAGTTTTTTTTATGTTTTAAAAATAAAAGAACATTTTGCCAAAGATTACTCTAACCAGATTTTGAGGACTTGGTGTACATGACAAATTATCCACTTCAGCATCTAAGGAGGCACAAGAAAGAATTTTCAGATCACTAGCAAGCAAGTCATTTTATAAATGTTTCTAAGCATATCTAAGTTTGTACACTAATTTTGGGACATGAGGTCAAAGAATACCAAATTTTTTCTAGGTCCATAAAATGAATGAGACCGAGTTTTAAAAATGGCTTTGGTTTAAGAAAAGTGCTTAATAATTGTCTCAGATTGAGAGACAATAACATACATTTTCCCAGGCACAAAAGTCAAGTAAAGTACTGGGAAAAAAAAAAAAAAAGATGGTGGCCTTTGGTAAAGCAATATTGTAAAGAGATTTCGTAAATCAAGAGTACATAATTTTTTATTGAACAATTTGCTTTATCATCCATCAATTTGTTAACTTCATTTAAGTCAGAATTTGGATATGGCATTTTTTTTTTTATTACTTCAGGTACTCAATCAGCAGCATTGACAGTTTTATTTGTTGTGTTCCTCGTGGTATATTCTAATTCTTTTCTGGTTATGACAGATCAGATTCTTTTTTCATCTCTACCTCTTGTACCTAAGTTGAATTTTTAATGGGAGGGAGCAAGAGAGGCAAAGTTCCTTAAAATTAAGACTGAAATTGATTTAAGATGCTATTTTCCCTTTTGAAAACATTTTCAAACATAAACGGCCATACTTTCATGGGAGGTCCCCCTCTTCCCACATGAGTGAGATTGGTTTTCTTACTCTTCACCTTGATATTGAGATAACATATTTTAAATTTCTTATAGGGAGATGAACCTTTCCATCTTACCTTCAGGCTTTGAAAGGGATTGTTTTGAATTTCCTTGATGGAATTGGACATTAGGTGGAGTTCTGTCAAGTTCATGCAGAAGACAAAAGTTTGGTCGGAAAGGTGAGATAGCTCATTGTGTTGGAGGTTCAAAATTTCCAGCAGGGGGAGTTTTTGGCACAATTCTGACTCCAGTTTTGAGATGGAGTTGTAGCCTCCATCCAAGATAGTAAGTTGTCTGTATCTTGTAAAGTTGGCAGCTGGTAATCTTCGGAGCTGATTATGGGTGAGATTCAACACTGTTATGTTTGCCGGGAGGTCATCAGGCACTTGAGTCAACTTCAGATGACTGCAGTCAGCCACTTCATGTCTAATAACACATTTATGGGTAGAGGATGTACAGAGAACCCACAGGGACAGCAGTCCCCAAAAGAAGTAGATATGAAAAGATGAACTCTGGTTCATGTTTCTCCCCTCTAAAAGAAATGTAAACAAGTAAGAGACAACATTAGTAACATAGGCTTTCATAGGTATTGGTGTATTCCTTGCAAAACAGATAACCAAAAGTGACTATATATGATCTTTTTACTCACAACTTCTACGGAATACAAGCATCTATTATATAATCAATATGTCAAATGGAAATAATTCTAATAGCACAGAAGTACAAAAATGGAGCATACAAACTCCCTCTTCACTTTTCACCTTTACCCCAGTTTCAATGCAGCGTCTTTTAAAAATTTTTTTAAAATTTAAATTCAGTTAATTAATATATAATGTGTTATTGGTTTCAGAGATAGAGGTCAATGATGCATCAGTCTCACATAACACCCAGTGCTCACTACATCACGTGCCCTCCTTAATGTCCATCAGCCAATTACTCCATTCTCCATTCCCATCCTCTCCAGCAACCCTCAGTTTGTTTCCTGTGATTAAGAGTCTCCTACATTTGTCTCCTTCTCTGGTTTTGTCTTGTTTTATTTTTTCCTCTTTTCTCCTGTGAACTTCTGTTTTGTTTTAAATTCCACATACGAGTGAGATCATATAATAATCGTCTTTCTCTGATCGACATATTTCACTAAGCATAATACCCTCTAGTTCCATCCACATCGTTGCAACTCAATGCAGTGTCTTGTTGAAAGAAGCACGATACGTGATTTCATTTCTATAACACCAAGATCAATTAGCTTCTTAATCATACTCTTGGGTAAATGGCCGGTTTGGAGGGATATCTCTGACACCTTCTTTTGGGTTATCATCTTGGAATCCATTCCACCATGTTCCTGGGTTAATGTCACTATGGTGGATTTCAGTACCTTCTTTCTTGAAATATTTTTGTTTTGACCAAAGTATCTGCTTGAGTAGCTCTTCTCCCTCTTTCCCCAAAATATTTACAGGAGGTTTTATTTTTCTTTCTTTCTTTCTTTTTTTTAAAGACTTTTAAATTTATTTATTTGACAGAGAGAGAGAGAGACATCACAAGTAGGCAGAGAGACAGGCAGAGAGAGAAGAGGAAGCAGGCTCCCTGCTGAGCAGAGAGCCCAACTCAGGGCTTAATCCCAGGACCCTGAGACGATGACCTGAGCTGAAGGCAGAGGTTTAACTCACTGAGCCACCCAGGTGCCCTGAGGTTTTATCTTTCAGCTTCTGGAATACCTGTTTTTGTTCTTTTGTCATATGATTTTGATGTGTAGGCTATTTGAGGCTTGGAATACTTTTTTATAAATTAAGTGTTTTTGTTTTATTTTGTTTTTTGACAGACAGAGATCACAAATAGGCAGAGAGGCAGGCAGAGACAGAGGGAAAGGGAAGCAGGCTACTCGATAAGCAGAGAGCCCGAAGTGGGGCTTGATCCCAGGACCCTGGGATCATGACCTGAGCCGAAGGCAGAGGCTTTAACCCACTTAGCCACCCAGGCACCGCTCGAAATACTTTTTATGCAAAATCATTAAGGCATTATTCCATTGTCTTCAATGTCTTCAGTATCCACTGTTGCTAAAAAGAAATCATGCCCATCTGGTTTTCTTTTCTTTATAAAAAGATACCTTTACTTTACTCTCTGTTTTCTCTTTGAACGTATCTTTTTCTTTATCCTCAGTATGTAAAATTTCACAAGGATATTTCATGCTAAATCTTTCCTCTAAAATGTAGCTATATACTCTTAGGCATTTTCAGTCCGAGGATTCATGTCTTCTTACATTTTTAGCTTTTTTTTTTTTTAAAGATTTTATTTATTTATTTGACAGACAGAGATCACAAGTAGGCAGAGAGGCAGGCAGAGAGAGAGAGGGGGAAGCAGGCTCCCTGCTGAGCAGAGAGCCCAACTAGGGGCTTGATCCCAGGACCCTGAGACCATGACTTGAGCCGAAGGCAGAGGCTTAACCCACTGAGCCATCCAGGCGCCCTGTCAGTTCTATGCCAATACCCCATTGTTTTTATCACCATGGCCAATAGTAAACCTTGAATTCGGAAATGTATATCTTTCCATTTGTTATTCTTTTCCTAGATTGTTTTTTTTTTTCCCGTGCCATGGTTGATGGGAATTATCTGAAATAGTTTTACTTATTATTTAATTAATTATTCCTCCTAACTGGAGTATACAATTACAACAGTAGAGGACATGTTGTCTTTACTCTGTACTGCTTTACCTGTGTCTAGAAAAGTGACTGGACCATATAGAATGTTGGATAAATACATGTTGACTGAATAGCTTTCCCTGGGCAGTTAATCAGCTCGAGAAAACCTCTCTTACCTCCGTCAATGGTCCCAACTTTATTTTGGTGGGATATATGCCTAATGTGACAGTCTCTGGTATGATCATTTACCTAGTTTCACTTTCAGATATTTAAAAATATCAAATACATCTTCAATGTATGGAGCTGGATCAATAAAAATGATAATTAAATTAAGTTAGTTTTCCGTACGATCTAAAAGTCATGTCACAAGAAGAATTCCAGAAAAGTTTTAAAGAATAAAATCATTTTAGAGGATTAATTGTAAGAAAATAGAACTAGAGCAAGTATTTATAATTGTTCTAATCGGCTTTTAAAATATAGTGGTTTTCCTTTTTTTTTTTTTAAAGATTTTATTTATTTATTTGACACACAGAGAGAGATCACAAGTAGGCAGAGAGGCAGGCAGAGAGAGAGAAAGGGAAGCAGGCTCCCTGCCGAGCAGAGAGTCTGATGCAGAACTTGATCCCAGGACCCTGAGATCATGACCTGAGCCGAAGGCAGAGGCTTAACCCACTGAGCCACCCAGGTGCCCAATAGTGGTTTTACTTTACTTTTATTTTAATCTAGTTCTCAGAGATAGAAGAAAAGTCAGTTTCTGTTAATTATTTTATGGGCTTTATAATACTGGCATTAAGTATTGTGAAAGCCATACCCAATTTTTATATTTATAGGCTATGACAAAGATCACAGCCCAAGTAGGAGGCCCCTCACCCAAACTGCTCAGGTACATGAAAAATTTAGAGCTGAAAATGAATACATTCTGGAAATCAGGGACTAACTTCCCAATTCTGACCTCTCTGAAATCCTCCCAAACCTCTCTTCCTTATACTATAAGTGCTTCTACTTCTACTTACAACTCACACAAACAGTACTGCAATATATTCTCCTCCTTGTCTGGGTGACATTTCTCTGTTTTAGAAGGGAAATAGAGATCAGAATTACTGAAAAGGACTAATCTATTTACAAAGAATATCCCTGAAGGACTGAAAGACATTCCCAGATCTGAAAATACATTCATCACATGGAAAAGTACATCACCAAATGGTAGGTAGGAGGAGTGAAAAAGGAAAATCCACAGAGTGAATCTTACGAAACTTCAGAGTTGTGACCATTCGAAAGAAAAAAAAAATCTTAAAACCTTCAAAAGGGAACATATGATCAATTACTTCCAAAAGAAGAAGATCCTGAATGGTGGAAAACTTTTCATTAGCAACATCAGCCACTAGAAAACAATAGTGATGAGCTTTCAAAATGATCAGGGGAAACAATTTTGAACCTAAAATTTCATTTCTTCCTGAACAACTCAAGATAAAGGGCAAAGCATTTTGAATTATGCAAAGATTCAGTAAGTTTATAACTATGCAAACTGCATGCAAAAATTATTCTGGAATTTGCTTCAGGGAAATAAATGAGAATACAGTTAGAGGATGAAACAGATGGGAAAAAATTGCTATTGTATGAGACAGAAGCAAAGAAAGCTAAAAGGATGGAAAATAGACACTCAGTGGGTCTTGCAGTTTTAGACAGGCCTTTCAAGGTGCATAGAATTACATGTGTCTGTCCAAGTGAGACATAATATTGCATCATGATGAAGACATTTGGTCTGGAGCCAGACTGGATGGGAGTTAGAGCTAATCCCTGCTTAGTTTGGGTTCTCCATTTTGGTTCGTACACTTCACAATATTTTCTCCCCGTGAATGTATACAGGTAACACGTAACTGCAGACACACACCAACACACAATCCTATCGTGAAATTTCGAGGTAACTTCCTGAGCTACTACTGCTCCAGGCTGACTCGGATTTCCTCCGACTCACCTGCATTTGCAAGTGCTGTGGGAAATGATCCTTCTGATTTTCCTATACATCTCAACGCCTATCCACTTGTCACTTTCCTCTACTTTCCTTTATGAGGTCAAAGAAAACCACTTTTGTACTCCCAGGAACACCTGAAGTGTTTTCTCCTTTTCAAGCACAATATCACAAAATACCAGCTCCTGTCTCCTTTCTGGCCAACAAAACTGAGAAAAGGAGAGAAACTCTTTCAAGCTCACAGGGCTCTGTAACTTTAAGACAAAGATATGATTTAATTAATTAATTAATTTATTTATTTGAGAGAGAAAGGGCACCTGAGCAGGGGGTTGGGGAGGGGAGGCAGAGAGACAGAGGGAAAAGCAGACTCCCCACTGAGCAAGGAGTCCCAAACCGGGCTTGATCCCAGAACCTGATCTGGGATCATGGCCTGAGCCAAAGGTAGACGCTTAACCAACTGAGTCACCCAGGCCCCCCAAAGATATGATGTTTTTTTAAAAAAAGGCTATTGCAAAATGATCTCCATAAATTTCCTAACGTGCTTTTCCAGGTCCGGAAATCCACAAAGGAAAAAAAAAACCTCATTATTGTACAAAGTATTGGATTATGTTAATTATAAATTCCTGCTATTACATGTACTCTGAGTTATGATACACTTCTCCCCACACCTCTGTCATCTCTCTTTCCTTCTGTTCTCCTTGTTGATTCTGACTCGATTTCAAGCACCAGATCAAAGAAAGACCAAAGAATGCTAAAACCGACGCGCAGTCCCAGCTCTAGCCAACAGGACAGACCCGATCCCAGTAAGAATTTTAAAGATCTACCTTCATTTACTCTGATAACAGCTGACCGTTCCTTTTTTCATTAGTCCAAATCCAGTCGTTTCCTCCAGGGACGGGCGGCATATTTGCTGCAATCTCGAAAGTGAAACTAAAAAGGGGAAAAAAAAAAAAAAGGCAAGCTTCTTACAGTTCTTGGATTCTAACAAGGGCAAAAGGAAAAAAGCACATATCACATATCAGCAAGAGAAATACTAAACTGCTTCTCAAAAAATATCTTGCTTTTCTGCTTTGGGTACAGTCCCTTGGGTTTTACTAAAAGGGTCACAGATTTAGCAACAGAGAAGTTGAAAAAAGTGGGAGCTCCCTTGGTGTGGGCAGGGCTAGTACTCTACAGGTTAGCAGGTATCTGCGAATGAATTCCTCTATTTTTTCGGAAGACTGATGCAGAACTGTCAGAACCTAGTAGAGTGTGGTCAGAGTGAGAAAAAACCTCAATCCCTAATCAAAGCTGAATACTTTCACCTCCCTTATCTTCTTAGCAACCCAGGAAGATAAGTAATGTGAACGTTAGCCTTTTGATTCAAGTAGACACCTAGTTCACAACAAAGGAACTGCTCAAAGGTGCAAAGCCAAAAGCCAGTCCTAACTCATGCTGCTCGGTTCCATAATCAGAGCCTGTTAGGGAACAAACACGAACCCAGAGAAGTCCATTTTCACCAGTTAGTTCTCAATAAGCTTTCCTGACTAGTTAAAGGAATGTGCTTGTCAGGGAAAGGACACATTTCTTGTTATTGATATAATAGGATATAATGTTACCAACCATATTGTTATATAGCAATTAGAACACTTAGAAGGAACTGTAGAGACCACCTAATTTAACTCCCTTGTTTGAGAAATGAGGAAATAGCACGATGAGGGATTTGCCAAAGGCTATACCGAAGTTACCATAATGCTTCGTTATTCAAACAAGTTTAGAAATAAAACAGCTTGGATCAGTTAAAACATGCCCGGAGCTTGACTTGATTGAAGAACTGAGGGCAAGAAAATAGGTCTGTATCATGATGCAAAATATCTTCTCCTTGGGTCTTAGTCTTAGTTGGAACTATCTGGTGGTCACTGGGCTCATGGTCATGCTTTTCTGATTTTTCACTTATCTATAATATAATACCATAAGCAAACAATTACCCTGAGTAAACCATGGTCCCTCACATCTACCTATTGCAACATGTGGTAAAACATTAATAGTATTCCAAAAGTTTCTTCTCTGTGAGCTCCTTGAAGCTGAACATGGTATGATCTCTGTATTACAACTCTCCAGCCACTCTTCCATGGTAGGCTGGTTCTCTGGCCTCCAATGAACCAGGCTCCTCTTCAGTATTCACACTTCCGCATGTTTTTTTCCCACATTGACGTTGGGCTTGACCATGTGACTAGAGTTGGCCAATAGGACATCATTAAACATGAAGTGAGCCAAGACTTGATAAGCATTTGTACATGGGCACTCACCCTCTTCCTTTCGGAACTCGGTTGCTGTGTGGTAAGAAGCCCAACCTAGCCATCTGCAAAGGCAACATGGAGGAGAACTAAGAGTCTGGCCAACAACTCCACTGAGCACCTAGGAGACAACCAGCCTCAACTTGCTGTCCAGTAAGTAATGAGTGAGCCATATTGGGAGTAGATCTTCTAATCCCAGTTGACTCACATGGAGAAGATGCCACACAGAGCAGAAATGAGTTTTCCCCAGGTCCTGCCAAAATTATGGAAGAGTAAACAAATAAATGACTGTTGTCCCCAAATTTGAGTGTTTATGTTATGTATCATTAGATAAATGAAACACATTCCCTCTATAATCTGACACACCCATCTCTTATGCTTTATGACTCCATGAGCATACTAAATTTTCCATAATGTTGATTGAACTAATGAATGGATTTTTCCAAATACTTATTGATCATCCCATAATGCAACAGTTTACATCCAGATATTCCTAGTCCTTAATTCTTGCTAGCTTCTGAATACATCACAAGTCAGTTTCTCTCCACTGTACATTCCTTGGTTATGCATTAATTTATTTAGCTATTATGGTGGTAGGTGCTATAGTGACAAAGCTCATTTTTCCCCTTTTAAGAGAATTAAATCAAAGTTGTGAGCTACATCCATAAATACAAGTCCAGTATTTACTGGTGTTTTGTAGTATGCTAGATCAGCAAATCTCAGAATATAAATGAAGCTGCATTATTCCCAGGGGAGCCAAGATCTATAGAATTCTAGAAGCCAAAGTCCTTTAAATTTACTAAATTTTTATTGATTTTACTAAAATCTATATATTTTATAGTTTCTTCCTTCAACTTGAGTGAGCACTTGTTAATGAAAATTGAGTAAGATAGTATATGCAAAGAGCCTGAAAGAATGGTTTGAAAAAACAGCAAATTTCAGAGTCTGGCAGTTATAAGCCAAAAGTAACCAGTAACTTATTATTTACAAATTTATGGAACTAAAGACCCTCTGTCCTTCTCTGCCTGCTCCTAGTAATAATTCTTAATAAAGTAGACATTGTTTTTAAAGGACAATTGCAGCCTTTTTAATGCTAGGCAAAGAATTTTTTGATGATTGAAGAAAATGTATAATCACTAGGAAATCTGTTCACTTTATCTTAAGATTTGTAAAGGAAGGTTTAATTATGGTTTTCATAATCATCAGCATCTATAAAACTAGACTATTGAAGGCTATATGAGACACTGTCTATAATTTTCCATATAAATTAATTTAGACATGAAGATAGCATCATTGCATTTCTGACAACATATCTAGAGAGCTGAAATTATGGGGAAAACAGACTATGTGAAAAGACAAGCTAATATTAGACAAAATAATTATACTATTGCCAGATTCTACAAGGTCCAAATAGAGAACTAATTATTGAGGAATATTTAAACTTGGGTCAGCACCAAATAGCCAATTGCCAGGGAGCTGTTGGGAATTTAAGAGTCCATATCATGCACAGGTTTTATTTCACATGGTTCTTAAGAATTTCTGCAATAAATTGGACTTATCAGTCTTCCCTGTGTCAACAGGAAGCCAAAGTAAGGCTATACCTTTTCATCAGTAAAACTTCTCGTGGGTTTGTAATGTGATTAATGTACTATGGACCCAGATAAAGAGTTAAGTTTGCCTCAGAGCACTAGGTAAACAGGCATTTTAAATTGTGCTCACTGGTCTCCCTTCATAGCCTCCTTTTGGAAAGGACATGATGCTACTTTGTATCATCAGAAATTCTAGCGGGCATTTCTTGCTCTTCTTTTGGTTTCTGAACTCTTTCTCTAGCATAAAGGTACAGTTCCTCTTACCAATGTCATTTCCATTTCTGCTCATTGACTTCAGCTGTTTTAAATTAAGCTCATCCAGACAACAAATTCAGCAAGAACTTTGACAAGGGAGGAAATCACACTATGTCCTTTCCTCTACTCTAACACGTACTGAATAAAATTAAACTTGAACTTCCCTTCTGAAAAAGGAAATTAGCATCTGACACATGGAGCTTCTGGTTTAACCTAAACTTACTTATTTAGTAATTTTTCAAGGCAGTTGAAAAGTGGTGATAGCTTTAAGTCTCTTATAAATCTGTGAAGTCCTTTAGAATGAATGGGGGGCTCACTCTCCTTTATCGACAGTCTCATGATATGGCTAAGGGCTCTTCAAACCCTATGCCTTGAATTTAATATTCATGTATTAAGATAAAAAATAAAATTCTAGACCCAATTTCATTTTCATTCTACACTTTAAATATCTTAATTAAATTTGATAAGCTGCTGTCTCCTGGGCATCCAAGGAATGGTGTCATAAATGACAGACAAAACCAATCACACTTAACATTTAAGAAATTTCGAAGTATCAACAGCAATTAATAACTTACTATAATCAAATTGAACTGGTCTTTGGTGAGAACTAATGCTCATGTAATTGATCCCCATTTTATAATGCAAAATTTGAATCAACAGGGAAAATTAAAAAGAAAGCTCAGAGTTGGAAAGGCTGGGCAATTGTTTTTGACCACACTTCTTGATTCCCACCTAAGAGGAAGCTTAATCTGTTTCATGAGATGGTTTATAATAAGAATATGGGAACTGGTCCTTAAAAAGTGAGAAGTAAAAGTGGAAGAAACGTGGGGCAAGGAAAAGTTTCCTGTGATAAAGATATGGAGCTAAGATACACAAACCTAACAAAGTTTAGAAGGCTCCAATACAGAGTTTATGGCCAATATAAAATACTAGTCTTAGTCTTTACTTTATCTAGAAATAAGCCCATATAAGAGTTGAGTATACGCTTTAACTTCATCAAAAGAAATTTTTTGCCTGACATGTTGTTTAATTTTTCAAATTATCTTAACCACACCAAAGCTCCTCAAGGGTGTGATATCAGCAAAATGCCTAACTAGAAAGTTTTAATCCTTTATTTCATGAAAATATCAAAAAACAAGAAACTAACTTAATTAATGTTACAGTAGCTGTGAAAAAACAGCCAAAGATCTATAGTAACCAAGCGAATTCCCTATCAATAAAAATTTACCTTAAAAATGATAGGAAATTTCATGGAAATTTTACTCACCATTTCCCTACTCCCTCCTGGCTCAGCACAGTCTTCATCTAGAAGGGGCAGCAGCCAAATTCCCAGCTGCAGATCAAACCTCCTGGCAATGTTATACCCATTTTGGGAGCTTCCTAAAGGACTAGTTTTCTCATCTAACTCGAATCTCAGTCTAGGGAAAAAGTAGGAGTCAGTGTTTGTGAAAGCTTCAGAAAGATTGTATATACAGAGCACCTGAGGCAAAAGATGACACAATAAACCATGTAGGTCCCTCAGGAAAAGCTGGAATGAGACTCTTTGGGATTTTAAGACATTCAAAAATAGCCATATTTATGGAGGAATTGAGAGAGCCACACATAAGCCCAAGCAAGGGGTATTCTCAGAAAAGACTTGAGTGGACTTTGAGCTTTTATCTTGGGCATATCCTTCAGCTCAGAACACACAGACTCAATTGGTGAAGCACTGCCCCATACAGAGCTGGTTTCCAAGGACTGGGAGAGGTTGCTATTTTTTTCAAATGCCTGATTTTCAAATAAAAGTCATAAGGCATACAAAGAAACAAGAAAACACGGCCCATTCAAAGAAACAATATAAATCTCCAGACATTCTCCTTAAGAAAACACAGACATTGGATTTACTAGGCAAAGACTTTAAACCAGCTTTCTTAAATATGCTCAAAGAGCTAAAGGTATGGGAGGAGAGGAAGATAGGGGCACAGTGGGAGAAACCTAGGCTCATCTCACCTCACAAACACAACTGGATAATGACCATATTGTCCTAAATACATCAGAAGTCAACCTGAAGACTGACAGAACAAACTCTGCAACTAAGGGAGAGAAGAGCCACGCTGGTGAAGGTAGGAAGTGCAGGGATATAGTTTAGGAGAGAAATGGATCAGTGATACTTCAGAGGGGAGGGAGCCATGGTCACAGTGAAGGGTAAGAGGGAGAGAAAGAGAGAGAGAGGAACACACAGGGGAATGTACAAGGAGAACATTTCCCCAAAGCTATTATTTTAGAAAATGAGAGGGGTTGAATTTCCTGAGTTCTTGCAAGCAGCAGAGCCTAAAGTCTGGAGTTTTAGAGGTCAGCAGGTTTGGCTGAGAGGGAGCCCTGATGGCACAGCACCGCTCCTAGAGAGACGGCAACTGAACAATCCAAGGGCATATGGCTTGGGAGCACTGAACTGAGAAGCACCTAAGGCACACAGCAGAGAGAGTATTCATTATTCTAGGAGGGCTTCCCTAAGAGGCAACTTTCACAGAGACTCCTCCCCAGGAACAAAGGGGCTGGCTGGTGTCAATTCCTTCCCCCACACGTCAGCATAAACACAGAACCACATGACAGAAGCAGCTCGGTGGCAACAATTGCTGCCTAACTTGGTTTCACTAAACCCCAGACCTCCGTGTTCTTCTGGAACTGCCTTTCTCAGTCAAGCTTGTCTCATTCCCAGTATGGTAGTCCCCTCCCCTAGAAGATTATCACAAACCCTTACCCACACCATCTCTCCCAGCCAGAGAGTTCTGTAGGGCCTCAGTTCTGGTGGAGTTAGTGTTAGGTCTCATTTCACAAGCAAACCAGAGTATACCTCATTAAAACTGGCCATATTTAGGCCAAGGAGCAAATGCCCACTGTGGGCAAAGAGAACCTCTGCAGATGACTTCTCTGAAGGATAGAACAGCCAGACACAATAGCATAGTTCACACACACAGTGGAGACGCTCCCTGAAGAGCTAGGCCCTGGGAAATACATGACTTCTTCATTAGGCCATTACTTTCAGGAGCAGGAGACATAACTAGCTTTTCTAACAGAATAAGGCAGAGACTTAGACAAAATGCCAAAATGGAGAAATTTACCCCAAATGAAAGAACAAAAATAAGGCCACAGCCAGAGATCTAAAAGAGACAGATGGAAGTAACATGCCTGAAGGGAATTTAAAGAACCAATCACCAGCACCTGAGTGGCTGAGTCGATTAAGCATCTGCGTTTAGTTCAGGTCATGATCCTGGGGTCCTGGGGATTAAGTCCTGCATCAGGGTCTCTGCTCAGTGGGGGGTCTGCTTCTCCCTCTCCCTCTGCTGCTCTCTCCTTGTCAAATAAATAAATAAAATCTTAACAAAAAATAAAGCAACAGTTGTAAAGATACACACTGGGTTTGATAAAAGAGTAGAAGACATCTTGTACCACAGAGATAAAAGAGTTAAAAAAGAATCAGTCATAAGTGAAGAATGCAGTAGATGAGATTGGAAACAGCTCAATATAATGAACAACAGGGTGGAAGAAGCAGAGGAATGAATTAGTGATATAGAGGAAAAAATAATGGAAAATAATGAAGCTGAACAAAAGAGAGAAAGAATAAGGAACACAAAAATAAACTTAGGGAACTCAGTGATTCCATCAAATGTAATAATAATTGTATTATAGGACTCTCAGAAGAAAAAGAGAGGAAAGGGGGAAGAAAATTTATTTCACAGAATAATAGCAGAAAACTTCCCTACTCTTGGGAGGGAAACATACATCTAGAGAATTCCCATCAAAATCAACAAAAGCAGGACAACAACAAGACATATTGTAATTAAACTTGCAAAATATTGTGGTAAAGAAAAAAAAAATCTTAAAAGTAGTAACACAAAAGAAGACAGTAACATACAAGGGGAAAACCCATAAGGCTAGCTGGAGATTTCCTAACAAAAACATGGCAAGTCAGAAGAGAGCAGCATGTCATACTCAAAGTGCTGACTGGGAAAAACCTGTAGCCAAGAACAATCTATCCAGCAAGGCTCTTATTCAGAGTAGAAGGAGAGGTAAAGAGTTTCCCAGAGAAACAAAAACTAAAGGAGTTCATGACCACTAAACCAGCCCTGCAGGAAAATTAAATATTAAAGGGAACTCATTGAGTGCTAAGGAGAGACCAAAAATGACTAAGACAAAGAATCAGAGAAAAGCTCCAGAAACAACTACAAAACAAGTAATACAATGTCAATAAATAATCTATCAATAATTTGAATGTAAATAGACCAAACACTCCAATCAAAAGACATAGGGTGCCAGAATGGATAAAAACAAACAAACAAACAAACAAAAAACCCCCCAAAGGACCTATCTATATGCTGCCTACAAGAGACTCATTTTAGACCTAAAGACACCTGCAGATGGAAAGTGAGGGGGCAGAGAAATATTTATCATATAAATGGATGCCCAAAGGAAGCTGAAGTAGCAACATTTATATTAGACAAACTAGACTTTAAAACAAAGATTATAAAAAGAGTCAAAGAAGGACATTATATAATCATAAAGAGGACAATCCAACAAAAACATATAACAATTGGCCTCCATCAGAAAGGATGAATACCCAACTTTTGTAGCAACATGGACAGGACTGGAATAAATTATGCTGAGTGAAATAAGTCAAGCAGAGAGAGTCAATTATCATATGGTTTCACTTATTTGTGGAGCATAACAAATAGCATGGAGGACAAAGGGAGTTAGAGAGGAGAAGGGAGTTGGGGGAAATTGGAAGGGGAGGTGAACCGTGATAGACTATGGACTCTCAAAAACAATCTGAGGGGTTTGAAGGGGTGGGGGGTGGGAGGTTGGAGGAACCAGGTGGTGGGTATTAGAGAGGGCACTGATTGCATGGAGCACTGGGTGTGGTGCAAAAACAATGAATACTGTTATGCTGAAAAACAACAAATAAAAAGCCATATAACAATTGTAAATACTTATGCACCCAACTTGGGAGCACCTAAACATATAAAACAATTAATAACAAACATGAAGGAACTAATTGATAAAAATAGAATAGTAGTAGGTGTCTTTAATGCCCTACCTACACCAATGGACAGATCATCCAAACAGGAAATCAACAAGGAAACAATGGCTTTGAATGACACACAGGACTAGAGGGACTTAACAGATATATTCAGAATGTCCCATTCTAAAACAGCAGAACACACATTTTTTTCAAGTGGACATGGAACATTCTCTAGAATTGATCACATATTAGGTCACAAAATAGGCCTCAACAATTACAAAGAGACCGAAGTCATACCATGCAACTTTTCTGACCACAGCACTATGAAACTAGAAGTCAGCCACAAGAAAAACATCAGAAAGAGCACAAATACATGAAGACTAAACAGCATGCTACTAAACAATGAATGAGTCAACCAAAAAATCAAAGAAGAAATTTAAAAATTCATGGAAACAAATGAAAATGAAAACAACAGACCAAACCCTTTGGGATGATACAAAAGTGGTCCTTAGAGGGAAGTATATAGCAATACAGGCTTACCTCATGAAGCAAGAAAAATCTCAAATAAACAACCTAACCATACACCTAAAGGAGCTAGAAAAAGAGCAACAAATGCAGCCCCAAACCAACAGAATTAATGAAATAATAAAGAGGACAGCAGAAATTAATAACATAGAAGCTAAAAACAAACAAACAAATAATAGATCGGATTCATGAAACCAGGTACTGCTTCTTTGGAAAAATAAACAAATAAAAACTTAACAAAATGATAAACCTGTAGCCAGATTTATCAAAAAGAAAAGGACCCAAATAAATAACATCACAAATGAGAGAGAAGCAACAACCAATACCACAGAAATGCAAACATTCATAAGAGATTATGAAAAACTATATGTCAACAAATTAGACAACCTGGAAGAAATGGACTAATTTCTAAACACAGATAAACTACCAAAACTGAACCAGGAAGAAATAGAAAACTTGAACAGACCAATAACCAGCAAAGAAATAGATGGGGCACCTGGTGGCTCAGTTGGTTAAGCTTCTGCCTTCAGCTCAGGTCATGATCCTACGGTTCTGGGATGGAGCCTCACATCAGGCCCCCTGCTTCTCCCTTTCCCACTCCCCCTGCTTGTATTCCCTCTCTCCCTGTCTCTGTCTCTGTCAAATAAATCAATAATAAAATCTTAAAAAAAAAAACAGCCAAGAAATTGAATCAATACTCAAGAAACTCCCAACAAATGTAAGTTCAGGACCCAATGTCTTCACAGGTCAATTCTATCAAACATTTATTTTATTTTATTTTATTTTTAAAGATTTTATTTATTTATTTGACAGGCAGAGATCACAAGTAGGCAGAGAGGCAGGCAGAGAGAGAGGCTCCCTGATGAGCAGAGAAGCAGGCTCCCTGATGAGCAGAGAGCCCAATGCGGAACTCGATCCCAGGACCCTGGGATCATGACCTGAGCCAAAGGCAAAGGCTTTAACCCACTGAGCCACCCAGGTGCCCCAATTCTACCAAACATTTAAAGAAGTTAAATTAAAGAGTTAATATTTATTCTTCTCAAACTCTTCCACAAAATAGAAAAGGAAGGAAAACTTCCAAATTCATTCTATGAGGCCAGAATTATTCTGATACCAAAACCAGATAAAGCCTCCACTAAAAAAGAGAACTACAGGCCAATATCCCTGACCAACATGGATGCAAAAACTCTCAATAAAATACTAGCAAGCTAAATCCAACAATACATTTAAAAAAATCATTCACCACAATAAAGTGGAATTTCTTCCAGGGTTACAAA